ATGGAGTCAGACACGCGAAGCGTCAAAATCAACTTACCCAGAAGCAGCAGGTGTTTCTCTGTTCTCTCTGCAACGCCTCCTAAAGTAAACGTTCAGATTCATGTGTGAAATAAAACCAATGAAAGTAAAAATAAAGATTAAACTTCTTTACTTTATTTAACTTAAAAAAAAGGTTTTACACTGTACTTAATTTCAAAAGTAAAATGAAAATGTCGCCTCAGATGATGATTTTAAAAACTCTTCTAATTAAAAACAGTTCTCTGGTATTTATCATTGCAGTAAATAGGATTAAAGTTAAAATAGAGCTTGGAGCATCATCAGTATGAACATTCAAGGTCTAATAGAGGATTAATATTAGAATCTGGTTCCTGCTGTGCAGTGAAATCCCGCCTCCTGCCTGTCCGGTGTTTCTGTAAACAGGTTTCCGTAGTCGTTGTCATGTTGTTATCAGCGTGTAAAAATTTAATGAGTCAGTTTGGAGTAGAAAGTACAAATATTTGTGCTTAAATGTGTACAGATACTTATAATTAATTATTATTACACCTCTGGTCTTGCTCTGACTCGACGGTTCCACATCGTGGCCTCTAGGTGTCGCCAGAGTTCAGCCTGTTCCCACAGTAATTCTATTGTTTATCCATCCGGATTTTTGCGTGGAAACGGCGTACCGCTTAGCTTTGTGTGTTAGACCCCCTGGTTGTCCTCGGAGTCTGTTACCATGGTGATTCACTCAGAGCTACTTCATCCTGTTTCCTGGAAAATCTTTGATTCCTCCACTTTTTTAACTCATCCTAGATCAACCAGTTTGATTTTGAATCTGTTTATTGACTAAAATCTGTCTGATGTTTCCTCTTCAGCTACATGAGAAGGCAGAGCAGCAGGTGAGTGACTCTAAACTCTGTTTATTTTCTATGTTTTCTACGTTTTGTTTATAAATTCAATCCTCTGTGTTCAGTCCTGCAGGTTCGGTTCTGGTTCAACACACACAGCGATCCAATCACAGCACCTGGAGCCTGCGGTTCCCCAGGCGACGGGCCTCTGCTCTGCCTTTATGCTCAGCCAATGGGCTGTCTGCTGCCCTCCCCGCTAACCAATCAGCAAACCTGAAGGTGCAGTAGAACCTGGTTCAGACAGGAAGTTTCTGAGGAGCCTCCTGATGCTGATGTTGTTGGTTTTTGTGGTCCAGCTCAGTAAACGAGTGTCCCAGATCAGAATACGGCGGGCGTCGCCGCGGGAGACGCCCCTCACACCGATGGGACTGCCCAAAGTTAAACGGTGAGAGACCAATCATCACAGATTTCATTTCTGGATCATCTGGAGAATCTGAATATTTATCAAAACAGACTAAAAAGTTCCCAAAAAATTAATAAAAATAATTCAGTTGTTGGTGAAATAAAGTGAAAGTCTGAGGCTTTCGGCTGCGCTGGGCTGCGGTTATCAGGAGTGAGCAGCAGGAAGGCTGTGGGACGTCGGGGATGTGATAAACATCATGCAAATCATGTGACTGTAGGTGAAGCAGTGATGATCCCTGTTCTGTTTCCTCCTCCAATCACACTCTTAGTGGGACGATTTTTTCCTACCAGTTTGGATTAATGATGGTTCTGACCCTGTTAAATATTCAGAGCCGTTTGGATTCAGTCTGATTTCATGGTCACAGAATCAGAGATGTAAGTTTGTTGATTTTAAATGAGTGGCTGAAACAGGCCTCCGTATGTAGGTGAGTTTGAGGCCATGATGAGCGCCCACAGCATTTGACTGATGCAGAAAATGGTTTGCCGGTTTCCAGGCTTTTGAGGGCTGATTCTCTCTTCACGTTCTCTAGTGTTAAAGGAATAGTACACCCAAAACATGATTAGCCTTCATTTTCTACTC